GAGACTTACCGTGCTAGAACAAAAGTTATATATATATATATATATATAAACATGATTGTTGACTATAAAGGCCACAACACAGCAGTTCATTTTTGATCTGATGTTTCAGAGTATTTTCTGATATAGGGTGCAATAATCACAATAACACTAAATCAACTAAAAAGTCACACCTTGAAATTTTTCTATCTTATAGTATATAGTATAAATTCAGCCTACACCCTGGAAGTGTGGCATGTAGATAATATTTGATCTTAAAAACTTGCTGTAAATTATTTGGTGGTATAAAAATGTGCAGAGAGAAAATGCCCAAAATATCTTGTAACACCATAATTGAAACTTACCATAACTGTCAATACTAAAGCCTGGAGAGGAAGATCCGTAAGGACTTCTGGGTCTAGTAGCACATTATCTTCATTGGAAACAGAAACTCTTGAGTTGCGATTCTTGTGGCTAGGAGAGTTATCCCCTTTGTCCTCTGAGCAGTCTTCTTTACCACAAGAAGAAGGAGAAGTTGTTCCTGTATCTGTGCTTTTCTGCATTTTTGGGGTGGGCATAGAGCTGCTGCGTTGAGTCTTAAACAATGGTCGTATGTTCTGAGCATCAATATCTAGACTTCTCCATGATTTGGGATCCTTAGTGTTCTGAACCTGCAAGAAAAATGGGATTCTAACTTTCTTCAATCAAGAGCATAACAAACTTGATTTTGTATTTTCATATAATAATAATAATAATAAAAAAATCAAAATAAACAACAACAACAACCTTTAGTGGGAGCTTAAATAAAAGGCCTGATGACTCAATAGTGATTATCTTGATATAATTCAGGATGTGACTCAACCATCAGGTTAAACTTGACAATAAAATGTTTATGTGTCATGATCTAAAAGACTGTTTCGTTTAAATATTAGTGATTAACTTATAGTTGTGAGTGAATATTTTATTATTTTTAAGTTTGTTATGATAAGAGTTAAAAGCAGACGATTGTAAAAGGTTTTGTTAATAAATAATTGGTGTTCGAGAATATAGAAAGTGGCCAGACGACTATGCATGGTGAAACGAGGATCCAGAATTTGATTTAGATTAGAGAGATTGATGATTGGTTTCCAATCCCCATTTTTTTGGGGGGACAACGAAAAATCGAGAGTAAAACTCAAGCTGGTTGGGAAACATGGGCTCTATAGACTCAGACAGATGAGCACTGGAGACCAGATGGCCCCGAATATTGTATCACATAAAAACATAGCTATTCGTAAGGGAAGGTGGGGGAGGTGCACCTGCACCTCAACAAGCATCACGTTTCTACCCAACAGGTCCCAACATCAAAACACCTAGGTAAGGTGATTACCACACTCTCATTTCATCAGTTTTGCTCTACAGTTCTACATTTTGTACACATTGAATTAAAAGTCATTTCAAACTGTATCCTTCATGCTATAATTTTGGTTTTTAAAATTAGATAAGCTACATTAATGCAAATTATAGTCAACCAGTGGGATAAATTTAACAATTTGTAACTCAGCTTCTAGGCAGATTATAAAAAAGAATCACATTAAAAGAAATATGAAAAATGTTGTTAATAAAATTATATCATTTGACATCATATAAACTCACTTAGTAGTAGCTAATACCTAAACATGTAGAAGCAACCAGAAGTTTGTATTCGATGTTAAGATATGCTTTCAGTGTAGAATGCTTACATTTCATCTAAATCTTCGTAGTTAGAATTTATTTACATACACAGTTAGAACCACCAGGTTTTGTAGTTTACTTGTATTTTTATTGAATTGTTCTGTAAGTTTTACCACTCTGTGTTAAGTAAATACAACTTTACATTTCTTTCTTTGTATTTATACTTTGTTCTGTTGAAATCTCCAGTGGCTTCACAAAGTATCATTCAATTTTTTTTTTTGCTTCATTTGCTAAGTTTAATACTGGTGAATTATCTGAAGATAGCTTTGAAAAACATAATGACAAACTTCATTCATTGGTTTTAAAAAGTATAGACTTTATTGACAAGTGACATCCATTAGTTTTCTCCACATTGACCTAATGATGTATTTAAGACAAGAGTGAAAACTTTCAGAAGAGAGAATCCATTTCATGTGTGTGTTGAATATTATATGAAACTTGTTTCTAAAACTGTTTTGAAGTAATCTTATGAAAACTTTTGTCATTTTTCTTCAGGGATAAGTTTGAAGTAACACCAGAGAGTGTGGCGTACTTGGCAGGTAAGTTTAGGATTCTAAAACAAGTGAATGTTGTACTCCATGAAATTAACATTTTTCTTTGTTTCAAGGAATGCCAAATATACAGTATACCTTCAAAATAAAAATACGTAGAATTTAATTTCCAAAGTTTCACCTATAGATCTTTTTTGTAAATGTTGAATACCGTAATAATGGCATTTACACTTTTTCAAGTTTATGGCATCTTCTTTTAAAATATGCACGTGTTTAAAAATACTGGTTTGTGTAAAAATATAAGATGATGTTAATATTTGTGTTATTTAGCTGGAGTTGAAAAGTGAAATGCTCTTGACTCATGAAAGCATCATAGAATATATATGATTATAAAATTTAGGCTAAAATATGTTACTAGCTCCATAATTTCCAATGTAAACCAAATCTGTGGGAAGCACGTACATGGTATTATTACAAATATAAATGTAAACCATTAAAAAATATTGAATCCTGTAGTTTCTAAGACTTGAGTATAAAACTGTTTTGTTTTTGATAGCTCTTATATCAGTCTCAGAAGAAGTCCGTAGTCGCTGTCATCTAAAACACAGAGTTGCAAGGGTGGTGTCAGAGTCACCATCAGCAGAGAGATTTGCTGTTGATCTCCATTCTTCTGTGCCATCTTCCCAGTGTACCATCTCCCCAAGTAACCCTACACCTTCTCACACTCCTGGTCATACTCCCATTCCATCACCCTCCTCCTCAACTTGTCCGTCTATTCAGACATCTCCACACCCACCCCAGATGAGCATGGCAGTTGTTCCCACCACTAGAAGACAGAAGTCTTGGGATCTGCTGGACCAGAATGCTTTGAGCCAGGCTCATCTCACCAAGCATACATCTGTACAACAGGTATTTCAGTTTGTTTATTTTTGAATTATGTTGTTGTCAGCCAGTTTAATTTTGTATTTATTTGGTTGGCTGTTTGTGTTACGTATGTAATAGTTTTGCTGTTTTTAACCAGTGAAAGAAGCTACTTGTTTGCATTATTCTATGTTTAATATATCCTTTTCCTGTGTTGTAGCTTAAAATCAATGAAGTCATACTTGTCTGAAATATGTTATTCACTTTCATCTTTTTTTCCACTTTAATCTCTCTGATTTTAATAGTTCTCAAGTCTATTAGAAAGAAGTTTTTCATTTTGTAGTATGATCCAAAAATGCATAAAAGTTTACACCAGAAACCAGTACCAGACTACCTGTTCGTTATAAGAATCACATGAGGCTGCAGGTATAAGTTAAAAGTAATAATAATAAGAAAAAACATCTGTAGTCTACTGTGGTTTTAACACAAACATTATGCCTATTGGTTTCAATACTTCAAATCTTTTAGCATTAAAATTTAATTGTCCACCAGAAACGTTTGTTATTTTAAAGTAGAAAATTATTAGCCGAACAGCTGGAGAAACCCTTAGTATTACATAAGAAAAATGTGGTTGACGTTGCCCAGACTATCTTCATTGGCCCTTTCCCTTATCAAGGTTTCCACTTTCATATAACTGGTATATGTGTCACTTGCAGACATATTTCATTCCTTAACTTGTACCGAGTTCTTACTTTTCTATGACTTGTACATATGTCACTTTGAAAGGTGTGGTAATCATATCAAGGTTTCCACTTTCATATAACTGGTATATGTGTCACTTGCAGACATATTTCATTCCTTAACTTGTACCGAG